TGAAGGAAGAAGTTCAAGCTGCTCTGAAATAACTGGCAAAAAAACAAGGGTCCAGGAAATGACAGCATACCAACTTACATATTTCAACAAACAGATGCTGCCCTGGGTGTGCTCACCAAGTTGTATTAAAAAATCTGTAGGATAACTAACTACCTGACCAATTGACTGGAAGAGGTCTTCGCTCCCATTTTAAAGAAGGGTGACCCGGCAGAGTGCGGAAATTATTGAACAATATCATTAATATCACATGTAAGCAAGATTCTGCTGAAGATTATCCAGAAACAACTGGAACATCCCATCAACAGAGAACTGCCAGATGTGCAGGCTGGATTGAGAAGAGGTCGTGGTACTGGGGATATTGTTGCTGATGTTAGATGGATCTTGGCAGAAAGCAGAGAATACCAGAGGAATGTCTATCTGTGTTTCATTGACTGTGCAAAGGCATTTGACGGTATGGATCACAACAAACTGGCTGACTCTGAGAAAAAGAAGGATAGAAAATCAATAAACAATGAACACTCATTAAGACGGGAGGGAAAGACACCATGGGCGGAGCGGACAATCAGCACCTGCAGGTTTGTAATAAACATTATGGAGCAGAACATGTCTGAACGACTGAAGAAAAAAACAAAAACAAAACCCAATATGCTCTGTAAATTTTTATTCAAATCACAGTTCTGAAAACTGAGCTGAGAGGAGCTTGGACAGATGTTTACTCCAAACAGTGACAGAGATGATCAAAAAGCAGGTGAAAAGGTTCTCAGCATGAGTCAGCAAATTCAACTCTGCACAACCCAGAGAGGATAACATTGACGAATGCGACCTTCTAAAGATTCAATCCCTGTGTGCATCAAAACCCTCTCCAACAGCGCAAAAAGAAAACCTACTGACTGGGAAAACCCATGTGGCAATGCCATCTCAAACAAGGGTCTCATAGTGAAAGTTAACAGAACGCTACAGGCCTCCACAAGAAAAAGACTGACAACCCAATCACAAAATGGGAAAAAAACATGGAATTCTTTTTCACAGAAAAAGACACTCGGATGGCCAACAGACACATGGAGAAATGTTCAAAATCACTGGCAATAAGATGCAAATAAAAACCACAGTGAGATACCATCTCACCCCAGTAAGAGTGGCACAGTTTAACAGGACAGAAAGCAATAAATGTTGGAGAGGATGTGGAGAGGTAGGAACTCTCATGTACTGCTGGTGGGATTGTAAAATGGTACAACCACTCTGGAAGGCGGGTTGGCATTTCTTCAAAAAGCTGAACACAGAAATTCCATATGACCCAGATATTTCACTGCTAGGAATATCCCCCAAGGAATACAGAACTGAGATACAAATGGATATGTGTACACTGATGTTCATAGTAGCATTATTCACAATAGCAAGAAAATGAAAATAGCCCAAATGTCCATCAGCAAACAACTGGATTGAGTAATTATGGTACATTCACATGATGGAATACTATGCAGCACTAGAGATCAACAATTTTATAAAATACTATATAACATTGGAAAGCCTGGAAAGGATTACACTGACTGAAGTCAGTCCTGAAAGGACAAGTACTGCATAAGACAATTATTGTAAAAACAGAAGGATAACTAGTAAGACGTGTATAAAAGTCCAAAGGGAGACACAGAGGGCAGCAGGGAGGACAGAGTGTAGGAATGGGGTGAAAACTGGGATGGCAGAGTTTGGTGGGCGGGGGAAGGGGGTGAAGGAATCGGGAAAGATCCAGTGGGGACCTGAAAAGATGGGGCAATAGTGGGTATAGATGAATGGTAATTAATTTTATAAAACACATATACCATCATATAGAACAATGTGAATTAAGAAATGTGTGACACACAGTGTACATGAATCATGCACAATGTATACAAATTTTATATGTAAATCAATTGTTGTTGTTGTTGTTATGTGCCGTCGAGTCACTTGCAACTCATAGTGACCCTATGCACAACAGCCCTAAACTCTGCTCTGTCCTGTGACAATTGCACTGTCTCTGACAAACCCATCCCAAGTACCCCAGTCACTGAATCAGTCCCCCTCATAGAGGGTCTTCCTCTCCTGCGCTGTCCCTCCACCCTCCCAAGCATGATGTCCCTCTCTAAAGACCTGTCTCTCCTTACAACATGTCCAAAGTATGTCAGACGAAGCCCCAGAATAAAAGAAACTTTTTAAAAATCAAAACTCCCTGCCGTTAGGTGCTTCTGACTCCCAGCACCCCTGCACCTGGTTTCTGAGGCTGAAACTCTTCACAGGGAAGGCTGTCCCTCTTCCTTCTGCACAGCGCCTGCTGGGTTCGAACCGCCGAACCACTGGGGACACACAGCTTCTGGGTCAGCAGCAAGACCGTCCTCTCTGGTCAGTGCCACCAGAGCTTTTTTTCTCAACATTAGTCCCAAAAATCCCACCAAAACCAAAATTCATATTGCCTTTGGGTCAACTTTAACTCCTGTGCTGTGACCTACACAGAACCAGTGGCCACAGATGGCCAGCCCTTTCCTCCGTGACACTGCTGGGTGGCTCTCCCGATCAGCAGGCTGGTGGGAACCACTGTGTCACCCGGGGACCTGGGGCAGATGGAAATTAAACCACAGTCATGCAGGTACCCCTTTACCCCACCAGAGTGGCTATAAGGAGCCCTGGAGATGCAGTGGGTTGATGCAATAGCTACTAATCAAAAGGTCGGGCGTTCAAACCCATCAAGCACTTTGGGAAAGATTCACCCAGGAGTCTGCAGCCATCAGGGTTACACCCCACAAACAAGACATCAGGACTCAAGGAGATTAGAGGTCCCAGAAGCTCATCTGGAGAAGGATGGGCAACACTGTCCTGTGTGGTTTACAGCCTCTGAGTTTAGAGCAGCACTCTGTCCTGTGGTCGCTGAGCTGGGCCTGACTCCTTGGCAGGGGGCTTGGTTTTTGTAGGGTGGCTCTCATCAAGGATACGTATTGGTGAGGCTGTGGAGAAACTGGAACCTTTGCATTGCTGATGGAATAGAAAACAGTGCGCCTTTTCTCAAAAAGATGCAAATAGAGATACTATTTGACCCAGCAATTCCACTATTGGGAATATACCCCAAAGAGACCATAACTGCCACCCAAGGCAGCTTTGTTCACAATAGCAAGGATTTGGAAACAACCTAAGTGCCCATCAACAAATGAATGGTAGAGAAGCTGTGGTATATTCACGCAATGGAATACTATACTGCATTGAAAACCAAGGAACTCATGCAATATTATTAAAAATGGGTGACCCTGGAAGACATTATGCTGAGTGAAATATCTCAGTCACAAAAGGACAAATACTGCATGGTGCCACTGATGTAAAACAGGACTGACATCGGGGTTGGGGAGAGACTGAGAAAAATGGGTTCAGTGATGTATACTGCATTGAAACAGATGAGGGAGAAAACTGTTTAAAAGGGATATATGATAAGGTATCATTGTCATCACAGGAGTCCAGAACAAAGGCTGCACAGTGGAGTGGACTTGAGGGGAAGGATTGTAAAACAATGAAAGAATTTTTCTTTCACTTTTTCAAAGAAAAGAGTGAACTGGGTATGCAGGGAGAAAAGTGCAACAATGAATGGAAATCCAAAGTCTCTGTAAATTTTCATTGAAATTAATAATAATTTTTTAAAAAGAAAGAAAACGGTGCACCTAATGCATCACTCCAAAGACTAAGGTGCACAGGATCAAAGTCATGGACTTTTCAGTTGGTCCGTGTGCATCTGAAAGTTGGACAAATATATAGGGAAGACTGAGGCAGAACTGATGCCTTTGCCCTGCGATGTTGGTGAAGGGTGCTGACCAGACCATGGAACTGCCAAAAGAACAGACAAAGTGGTCTTGGTTCAGACAGGGTGCTCCTTAGACGCAAAGTCGGCAAGGCTTTGTCTCATAAACGTCGGGCAGGTTAACAGGGAGGACCAGTCCCTGAAGGAGGACCGTGTGGGTGGAAAAAGAAGCTGGTCAGAAAAAGGGAAGAAGCTCGTTAATGAGAGGGTCTCACAGGGACTGCAGCCACGGCTCTGAGCGTGACAGAGATCGGGAAGGGACAGAGACTGTGACAGTGCAGCAGGACCAGGCAGGGTTTATTCTGCCACACGTGCATGAGGTCACCGTGACTTGCAGGTCCCTCAATGACACTTGAGTGGCGTAGTTATAAGAAGCTGTGCTGCAATCCCAAAGGCACACAGTTCAAATCCACCAGCTGCTCTGTGGGAAAAGGATGGACAATCTCCTCTCATGTGACTAACTGCCGCTGAAAACCTGCTGGAGGGTCAACTGTGGGTTGGTTCAAACTCAATGGCACATGACAACAAACCCAGTACCATTTAACAACAGCAATGTGGGAAAGAATACGATGATTCTTCATCGAGTTAAACAGAGATGCAATCTACCCCAACAATTCAGTCCTGCATATGTGCCTCAAAGGACGGATTCAAACATCCACCTCAACACCAACGGTCACTCAGTGCTACCCACAGGAGACAATGGGTCCAACGAGCCACATTCATCAACAGATGAATGGAAAAGCCCAGTGCATGAAAGAAATGATGTCTGATCTATGCCAGGATGTTATAGAAACATGATGCTGAGTGGACAAGGCCAGTACAGAGGGACAGAGACTGTCTGATCCCACTGAGATGACATTCCTAGGACAGGCAAACACCTCAGCCTGTAAAGATTTACAGCTCAGCATGGACACCCAAGTAGACCTGTGTTTCCCCGAACCTCAATGATAGAAAGAAGGGCAGCCTCCTCTTTTGCGATTTACAGCCTCCGAAAACCACCGGAAGGTCAGCTATGAGTCAGTTCCAGTCTGACAGCATTGAGCTGAGAATGACAGACTTTTTAAAGACACCTCTGGTTGTCATTTGCTCCTTAAACAATGGTGTGGCCTCCAGGAAAGGCCAAGGACGCCCAGTGTGTCCTTCCCCATCCCTGTCTCCATGGGGTGCACCACGGCTGTCCCCACCACGCTCACCTCTGCCTGCCCGCATCGGCCTGCTCCCCGCCGCTGTCGCTCCCCTCTGCGGCCGACAGGTCCGCATACTTCTCGCTGACCACGTCCAGTGCAGAGAGCAGCTCGGGCTGGGGGACCGTGGGCTGGACCACACTCAGGAGCCGGTGCAGCGTGGGCCCTGGGACCACCGCCAGCTGGGTGAGGTAAGAAGCCAGCCTCAGCTCCTGGAGGGGTGAACAGAGAGGACAAATCTCATCGCTCAGGTCTCCAGAGCAGCCCTGTTACGGTATTCTGGGACTTTCTGTCCCCTGAGTGGTAAATATTTCAGTAGCTTGGTCTTAAAAACATGCTCCCAAATTCACAGACCTGTCACAAAAATCAATGCTGCCAGCAGCCCTGGTTCCCCGCACATTTCTGAAGCTCCATCCATACTCCCAGCCCTTCCCAGCTCTCCCCGCTGATCCTAAATCCTCACAGCAAAGGCCGGGTCAGTGCAGGACCCATAAACACCCCATATTCCTGTTCAGGCTGCCGGCAGTGGACAGCAAGGGGGATGTGGCTTCTAGAAACATCTGAATAACCCTCGGTGGTGAGCAGTTAGACATTGGGATATGCCTGTGCCTTGGATGCCACTGGGCAGAAAAGGAACCAGCCAGCAGGCTCGGCCAAGCACACCGCGTGCAGAAGGGCAATCTCCAGCACCTCACAGCACGCACTACTAGAGTTGTGGGGGGCCATTGAGTTAGCTCCGATGCACGGTGCTTTCAGAACAATAGATTAAAACCGTGCCTGACCCCACATCACCTCCATCACCTCACAGTCCCAGCACATTCCAAACGTGACAGCACGCAGGGACGGAGAGCAGAGCCAGCTGCGAGGGAGGGCATAGTGCGGCCATGAACCCTGGGATGGTCTTCAGTCTGTAGGGACCCAGCTGGCAGAGCACATGATGCTAAATGAGAGGTCAGAGGTTCGAATCCACCAGCTGCTCTGACGAAGAAAGATGGGCAGTGTGCTTTGACCAACACTCACCGCCTCAGGAACCCGAGGGAGGGCTGCCAGGGCCAGAGTCCACTCGCTGGCCATGGTCTGAGTCTTTGCTAGGCGCAGTCAAGCTGGCCCCAACTCACAGTGACTACGCACATGGCACAGGAGGTGCCAGCCCCATGACGGGTCACGAAGAGACTGTTCTGATCCACTGGGGGCTTTTCTGTTTGGGTTTTGTGTGTGTGTATATGTGGTTTTGTTTGTTTGTTTTTGGAGGTTTTGTATTTGTTTGGTGGCTGGTTGGTTGGTTGTTTTTGGTGGGGGTTTTTTTTGTTTGTCTTGTTGTGTACCGTCAAAGTGGATCTGACTGGTTCAGGAGGAGATGGCCCCTCCTTCTCCATTGGAGCAACTGGTGGATTCGAACCATGAGCCTTCAGTATTGAAGTACAGCTTCTTGCCAGTAGGCCACCAGAGCTCCCTTTCCACTGGGTTTTTGAACACTTGATTTTTTTAAAATAATTGATAACCAGGCCTTTCTTCCAAGTCTGTTTTAGCCTGGAAGTTCTGCCGAAACCTGTTCAACACCACAGCACACTCAGGTCTGCACGGTGGATGGCTGGTGGTGGAGCATGAGGGGTTATTAGTTGGAATAGAACCTACGTCTCCTGAATGGAAGGTGAGAATTCTACCAATGAGCTACCAATATCCCCTAAGTTTAGAGCAAGCACAAAGGAAACCTTCTGGGTGATGAAATAGTTCTGTTTCTTGATTATGGAGGGAAAACATGAATATACACATGTGACAATATAAATTGCACATACATTTACTGCCAATATCAATTTCCTATCTGTCATATTTCACTATAGTTTTTTTAAGATTCAGCCATTGGATGAAGCTGGGGGATATCCAAGGTGGAAGAGGAGTCTGGACCTCTCTACCTTGGACTTGCAACTTCTCTGGAGCATCAACCCCAAAAATGTAGGTTAGACTCCAGTTTAAGGCATGTAGATGGCTGAACTGATACACAGATGGATAGACAGAAGGATGGCTAGCTAGAAGGATGAAAGGATAGGTGCAGGAAAGGATGAAGGGATGGATGGATAGGTGGATGGATGGATGGATGGATGGATGGATGGATGGATGGATGGATGGGTGGATGGATGGATAGTGGAAAAATGGATGGATGTGAAATGCACAGATGAAGGGTGGAAAAATGGATGGATGGATGGATGGATGGATGGATGGAGTAAGGATGGAGTAATGGATGATGGATGGATGGATGGATGGATGGATGGAAAGATGGATGGATGGATGGA